GCTGCTTTGAGAAGGACATTTTTGACACTCACTCACCACCTCAGTAGATGCAATTTCAAATAAGAAAAATTAAAGCTATGTACAAAGAGAGAGAGACTGATACCGTTCTGGTCAGAAGAGATATTACCAAAAGACAGACAATCACTCACAAGGATTCCTTCTTATCTAACAAAACTCTGCTGCACATAATCAAAGATGCAAGAAAATTTCTCTAAAGGAAAAGGAAACATGGATCTTTCACAGCATCACATGTTAGGCAAATAAAATCTACAGGTTGCTTAGTATTTAATAGCTATTTCATCTCATTCTAGGTGGCTTTGTGCAGGCCTGCACATCTCATTGTCCAACATGCTACTTCATGAACCCTGACATCAGTACTTACGAAAACCAAGGCCCACATCTTTCACACTGAATATTCTAGACCTCAATCTCCTTCCTCTTCTGGACAAAAGGTTCATGTTGGCTGGAAAGCTTTGGAAAAATCTGATGGTTCGGCCTCTCTTCCCACACATCAATCTTTTCATGATAAAGCCTGTTGTTTTACTCACAGTGTCTAAAGCTCTGCTATCCAAAGGCTAACATGCATTATTCTATGCAGATTTACATTGCCTGCTCCTCTACGATAATTATGATAATCTGAAAAAACTCATTTGTGATGTGTCAGTCACAGTGGGAGGCACATTTAACACAGCCACTTTTCAAATGCCATTTCTCTTTCTAAATCAACAACACACTAATTACGGACTTCACAACCTTAAGAAAATAATGCAAACCTAAGCCTTGATACAGGCTCTAGAATCCTACAAGCACTTCTAAAGCATAACGAACTATAACAGAACCTAATAAAATTTAAAAGGGTAATTTCTAAATGCTAACACAACTTTGACTCAACATATTTTTGTCTCACGTTCAAAATATGTTAAGGCAGTGCTATTAAGAAATGGGAGTATTAGGTCAACAACTAGTTTTGTGTAATTTCCACTGGGACTATAAATTGTTTCCTTTAAACAGTTATTTAATGATGATCCACATGACCTCAATACAGTTCCTGATGAAAAACAGTACAGAATCTCTTTCCAGAGAATAGCATATGAGTTGACAATACAAGACTGCAGCTATACAATTATCCTAAGAACAGTTCTTGCATAAATAAAACAAAATTACCAGCCCATATGACTAAAGCTTGGCAACTGTGTTTTGGGTATTGCAAAGACTGTCAGAGTTTTAACAGTGAAATTTCATACTTTTCAATGGCAATTTATTCTACAAAAGATATT